TTCTAATAAGATAAGACACTTGCTTCTATCTTTTGTTACAAAATACTAGATAGGTTTACAAGATTAGTCAGAAATACGTACTTTTGAGCATGTTGAGGTATGTATATTGGACAGGATTTTTTAAACTTTTTTCTGCTTTAAATCTAATCGAATGATATTTTCTTACTCAGTTTTTCACGCTGATTCAGAATATGATATTTTTAAAAAGTTTAACAAAATAATTGTCCTTCAAATTTAACAATTTCAGTGACAGAAGCGCTATAAACCTGCATTTATGACATTTGTAGTCATTCAACTTTTTAATCACTTTTCTCCTCCAAACAGTAATTGAATCGAAATTAAAAATATATATTCGTAATCAGCTTTTCATGCTCTATCAAACCATATATAAATAAACGAAAAAAAAAATTTATGGAAATTCTGCATTTTCGCTGCCTTACTAAATTTATTGAAATATATTGATAGAGAATAGTATTATCAACTATATCATGAGCTGAAAAAGGTATACTCTATTTTGCAGTTAAGCTTGCAATATGAGTATCTAATAAGCTATTCATTTTTTTTGTTTAGAACGTTCCTTTGAGGCAAAAAATGCAAAGTAAAAAAGCATTTTCCATTTAGCAGAGTGACTAATAATGTACAATACTTAATCTTGAGTTTTATTGATTGTTGATGGTTTCTTCACAAATTCTTTGTAAGTACCAAATAAACGATCAAATTCAATCAATGGCCCTCCATAATTACAATCAAAATAGGCATGATGTAAATAATGAAAATCTGAACCACCAGCTGGGTCATTATGACCATCATGACCACCAATTGGTGCAATATCAGCATGAAATTTAGCATAAAGAAAATGAAGTGGATGACATGAAAACATTAGTGGAAAATAAGTGCATGTGTAATAAACTAAATGTTCAACTGGATGCATAGATAATCCAGACCATGGACCAGGATTGCGACTTTGATGGTGAAGACTATGAAAATGACGATAGAGAAATGCGCCAATGTCACCTTCACGTAAACCATATTGAATAGACCACCATGGATGCATTAAACGATGAATCTATAGACATAAAATAGATTTATAACTGCAACTTAATAAGGTAACATACCCAATAGAAGTGGAATACCCTCCAATAAGTAACACCCAAAAGAATAAAAATCGAAGAGAATGGTCGAGACCAAAAGTCACCATAATAAGGTAATCGACCACTAGCCCATAACCACATAAAAACGCATTGAACAAAAGCAGAATGTAACCAGCTAAGCGTTGTAAATGTTATTTCTCTTAACAGATGACGTTGACCTTTTTCTTCATAAGCATTGACTGGATTAAATTTTTTTTCATGTAACGGTCCTCGAGGATATGGACTCATACGTGAGTGAGTCATCCAATGCCAAAATGAATAAATGATAAATTCACACATTATATTATAAAGAAAAATTCGAGATGTCCATCTAAAATGCCATTCATTTGCTTCAGGAAATGTCATTGGAAAAATCCAAAACCAACATAAAAGTGCAATACCAAACTCAAGTGCATGAGCTAAATGACACCAAATAAGACAATCAAATACTTTTCGTTGCAAATAGGACCATTGTGCATATGTTTTGAATAATAATGGAGTTGAATAATTTTTTTCACCCCTGTGAAGACGATGAATGCCAATGATATTGCGAATACCAAATGTCATTACGATTAGATCAGTTCTTAAAAACTAAAATAAATTATTTTTGAAATACAATATTTTGCAAAAATAATTCATCACTTGTTTTTTCTCATGTTTTTCTACAACAGAACTACTTTCAATAGCCATTCATACTTTAAGATAATAGTATACTTAGTTGTCTATTAGAAATGTATGACACAAATTCGAGACGTCGCGCTATTGAATTGGCTTATGATATTAACTTTGAGGGTAGGAAAAATGAGTGCATCAAAACGACTGAAACAGGACAAGGTGCCACCCTACTTGAACTTCAAAATCAGTTATGAATTATTAAATCACAGCAGCTGAAGCTTGGCAATAGTGATATTAATATATGTATCTCTTAGAGAAAGAGAAAAAGTTCAATGGATATGATTCAACAAGAATTATACAATGGATACAGACAAGAAGATCAGGAAAATAATTAATAAAAATTCTTCATATAATACAAAAAGTTAATTCATGTGATGTTGATATGAAATCCCATGATGCTTCAAGAAAGATGAAAAGAAGCCAAATATGTGAAAAAGTTGCAAGCTTAATTTTCAAAATTTGCTCGAAAGCCCCGAATTGTTTTTATTGACTGTGTAACTTTTGCCACCTTTTTTCGATTAAGCTTTTTCTTTGCTTCTGTAAGAAATAAGTGTATTTATATCACTATTATGAAGTTTCTGTTGCTGCCGTTTAACAATTCATAACTGATTTTGAAGTTCAACTAGTGTAGCACCTTGTCCTGTTTCAGTCGTTTTGATGCACTCATTTTTCCTACCCTCAAAGTTAATATCATAAGCCAATTCAATAGCGCGACGTCTCGAATTTGTGTCATACATTTCTAATAGACAACTAAGTATACTATTATCTTAAAGTATGAATGGCTATTGAAAGTAGTTCTGTTGTAGAAAAACATGAGAAAAAAAGTGATGAATTATTTTTGCAAAATATTGTATATTCTAGCACATAGTGCTTGGCACTTTCAACTAGTTTATATACTGAGGGTATGTCGGTCTTATGACTTAAAAATGGTCAAGCTCTATTTTTTTCCACTTTTATCTTCATAAAGATAAGAATAATAATAAAAATCGCATGCGCGCTTCTCCTCTTCCTTCTTATAAATAAGATTGTCTATTTTCTGCATAAAATAGAACTAATGAGTATTCTGTAATATTCTTAGTATTCACAGATTTTTGTGTGCAAAAGATATGGAGCACCGCTCTGAATGGAATTCTCAAACATATTATTTTCTTCCATTTGGTTGAATCGTGCAAAATGTTCATGTACACTATTTTCTCAAGTAAAGTGTGCGCATTAAAGTTTTATATAAAGGTATTTCGACTGATTTTTAAAACGAGTTAAATCAACTTTTCTTCGTCTATCACATATCAACATATATATGATGGTTTTGATCTCAGTCTACCTCATTCACATTACAGATGTCCTTATCTAATTACATCAAATAGGTCTTCAAATGTATCTAGACGGACCGATCTCTATCTCAAAGTGAAATTGAAGTGCACATTTATTTTAAATACCTTAAAAAAATAACAAGAACTAAAGATCCCGGATTTTCAGCACTGACTAGAGTTGAGACCGCTCTATCTTTTTACATAGGCAACGAAAACATCCAGGCGCCTTTTTCTTTGAATATGTCGCAGTTGGTTAGAGAATTTAGTTGAGATTGGAATTCATATAAATATAGAAATAATATCTATATCTATATTTTTAATTAATAGGAGAGAAAACAGAACTGGTAAATTTAGGAGATTATTTCACATATAATAGATAAATTATTCTTTTTTACGAGAGACAAAGTAAAAATATGAATGCTTTAAAATATATTATTAACTTAAATGAATAGTTTATACAGAATATAAGGGAAAAATAATATGGCGGTTGTTTATATTAATTTGATTATTTATTTATTTTATTGATGAGCGGGACATGCGGGACATTGAAATTTGTATTAGATAAAAATATACAATTTATTTTTTTTCTTATAAGATAGATAGATTTTTCCGACCAGCGGGACATGCGAGACATTGAAATTTGTATTAGATAAAAATAGACAATTTTTTTTTCTTATAAGATAGATAGATTTTATTTCGATCAGCGGGACAT